AAATATGACATTTTAGTGATAAAACAGCTTTTTTGACCTTTGAGGATTTTGTAGTGTTGACGATAGTAGGGTGGCGCTGACTACTGGGGTGGTGAGAGCTGGAACTAGGGTTGAAAACATGGCTGCGCCCATGACAAGAAGCGTGTCAACTGAGTAACAATAAAATTATGTTTTGTGACTAATAATCGTCTATCTGTAACTAGTCTGTAAACATAACAGATTTGGATCAGGATGAGGTCCCCAAGGGTCAATAATGATCTTATGTCATCTTCTTTTGTAATTCTGTGCATTTTAACACCAATATCATCTATATACTAATATATCATGTTTTGTTGCTGAAATATAATTTTTAGTGATTTAGGCAAGGGTCAATGACCTTTGTCCTCTAATAAAAAAAATTCCCCAACCCCTATCCTTTAAAATTCCCCTAGCCCCTATTACTTTTTTTGGAAGTTGTCCATACCCATACCTACCCAAATCAGTTGAAATTAGCTTCTTTTAAATTTTTTCACAGATTGGCTAATATATGGCTAATTTAGGGTTACTAATTCTGCCAATGGCTAGAAATCGGTGGTGGCAGTATATTTTTTAACCATCAACATTTTCAACTATCCTCCACGACCTTCTTTATTCGATCTCCATTACCTTCTCCCCTCCTCCTCCTCCTCCCCTCCTTCTCCTCCCCCTACTCCAATCCTCCTCCTCCTCCCCTCCTCCTCCCCCTACTCCAACACCTTCTCCCCTTCTCCTCCTCCCCCTAGTCCAACGCCTTCTCCCCTCCTCCTACCCCTACTCCAACACCAACTCCTCCTCCTCATGCCCCCTACTCCTCTACGACCTTCTTCATTCGATCTCCATCACCTTCTCCCCTCCTCCTCCTGCTCCTCCTCCTCTCCTTCTCCTTGCCCCTACTCCAACACCTTCTCCCCTCCTCCTCCCCTTCTACCCCTACTCCGACACCTTCTCCCCTCCTCCTCCTCCTAGTCCAACGCCTTCTCCCCTCCTACCCCTACTCCAACACCTTCTCCCCTCCTCCTCCTGCTCCTCCTCCTGCCCCCTACTCTTCCTCCACCAACCTTGTTTATTCGATCTCCATCACCTTCTCCGCTCCTCATCCTGCTCCTCTTCCTCTTCCTCCTCCTCCTCCTCCCCCTCCTCCAACACCTCCTCCCCCTTTGCCTCCCCTCCTCCTCCTCCTCCTGTCTCTCTTCCTCCTCCTCCCCCTACTCCACCACCGTCTCCCCTCCTCCTCCTCCTCCTGCCCCTAGTCCAACACTTTCTCCCATCCTCCTCCCCTCCACCTACCCCTACTCCAACACGTCTTCCTCCTCCTCCTGCCCCATGCTCCTCCTCCACGACCTTCTTTATTCGATCTCCATCACCTTCTCCGACTTCAAATAAACAAGGAAAATTCGTCATTTACCTAGGCCTTATAATACCTCGCGATTTACTACGCGTACTACGAGGCCCGGGAAGGGACATGTGAGAAATATTTTTATCTCATTAAAACGAGATAATTATCTCATTAAAACGACATATTATCTCAATTAAAACGACATAATTATCTCATTAAAACGAAGATAATATTCTCATTAAAACGACATATTATCTCATTAAAACGACATATTATCTCATTAAAACGACATAATTATCTCAGTAAAATGACATATATCTCATTAAAACGACATAATATCTCATTAAAACGACATATTATCTCATTAAAACGACATATTATCTCATTAAAACGACATAATTATCTCATTAAAACGACATTATCTCATTAAAACGACATATTATCTCATTAAACGACATAATATTCTCAAACACCTGTGACTGCATGTGGGGAGAAGGTACGGAGCCGGGAAGGGACATGTGAAAAAATATTTTTATATCTCATTAAAACGAGATAATTATCTCATTAAAACGACATATTATCTCTTTAAAACGACATATTATCTTATTAAAACGACATAAATATCTCATTAAAACGAGATAATTATCTCATTAAAACGACATATTATCTCATTAAAACGACATAATTATCTCATTAAAACGACATTATCTCATGGGCAGGAGGACTAGGGGCAGGAGGAGGAGGACGAGGAGGAGGGGAGACGGTGGTGGAGTAGGGGGAGGAGAGACAGGAGGAGGAGGAGGAGGAGGAGGAGGAGGGGAGAAGCGGGAGGAGGAGGGGAGGCAGAGGGGGAGGAGGTGTTGGAGTAGGGCGAGGAGGAGGAAGAGGAGGAGAAGATGAGGCAGGATGAGGAGCGGAGAAAGGTGATGGAGATCGAATAAACAAGGTTGGTGGAGGAAGAGTAGGGGGCAGGAGGAGGAGGAGGAGGAGCAGGAGGAGGAGGGGAGGAGGTGTTGGAGTAGGGGTTAGGAGGAGGGGAGAAGGCGTTGGACTAGGAGGAGGAGGAGGAGGGGAGAAGGTGTCGGAGTAGGGGTAGGAGAAGGGGAGGAGGAGGAGGGGAGAAGGTTTTGGAGTAGGGGGGAGGAGGAGAGGAGGAGGAGCAGGAGGAAGAGGGGAGAAGGTGTTGGAGTAGAGGGAGGAGGAGGAGGAGAGGAGGGGGGGAGAAG